GACAACAAGGATTCTGGAGGAAATTGAAGGCTCTAATAGCTGCTGGTACAACAAACATTTAACACTGCCCAACTCTTAGCCAGATCAACATAAAACCTCACTCTAAAAGCCTATTCACCTCAGTTCCTACTACCTGATACATCATGTCTGGCTGTCATCAAAAAATTGCAAGGCCTATTAGCAAGCAAGAAAAGATATAGTCTAGAGACAAAGCAAGGATCAGAATGAAACTCAGATATAACAGATTTTTTAATTATCAGACATGGAATTTTAAATAATTATGATTAATATGGTAAAGGGTTTAATGGAAGAAGTTGATAAAATATAAGAACAGATGCGTAATATAAGCAGAGAGATGGAAACTTGAAGAATCAATAGGAAATGCCAAGAATGAAAAAACCCTATAATAAAGGTCGAGAATGCCTTTGATTGGTTTGTCGGTAGACTAGACATATTCCTAAGGAAAGAATCAGTGAGTTTAAAGATTATTAATAAAAACTTCTCAGACTGAAATGCAAAGGAAAAAAAAGAATGGAAAAAAATATGCCAGAATGGCATATCTAAGAACTATGGGACAATTTCAAAAGATCTAACATATATATAATTGGAATACCAGAAAGAGAGGAGAAAAAGAATGGAGTGGAAAAGATGTTTGAGGCAATAATAACCTAGAATTTTCCAAAATTTATTATGGGCTCCAAACCACAAATTCAGAAAGCTCAGAGAAAACCAAGCAAAATTAATGCCAAAATCCTACACCTAGGCATATCATTTTCAACCTCAAAAGAACCAAAGACAGAAAATCTTGAAGGAAGTCCGAGGAAAACACTCTAATATGGAAAAACAAGGATAAAAGTCACAGAATTCTTGTTAAAAACCCTGTGAGCAGGAGGAGAGTAGAATGAAACATTTAGTGTTGGGAAAAAAAACAACAAAACAAAAACTTAGGATTTGATATCCAGCAAAATTATCCTTTACAAGTGAAGAAAGAAAAAAAAGTGAATGAATTCATTTCCAACAGACCTGCTCTGCAAGAAATTTTAAAAGAAGTTCTTCAGGGAAAAGGAAAATGATATAGATTACATGATCTTAAAATCTTTTATATTTCATATTATTAACTGATTTAATAGATAACTGTTCAAAGTAATAATAGAAACAATGTATTGGGTAAAATAAATATAGAAATATTTTAAGTGGCAGAAGTGAGGATCTGGGACTGTTCTGTTTTAAAGTACTGGCACTACCCATAAAGTGCTATAGTGTTATTTGAAAGTAGACTTCAATTAGTTGTAAAAACATATTATGAACTCTAGAGCAAACACTAAAAAATGTTTAAAAAGAGGTATAACTGATATACTAGAGAAGTCAAATGGGGCAGAGGAGAAATAAATAGCAAATGTAGCAAATAGAAAATAGAAACATGGTAAATATTAAACCAACTGTACCAATTACTTTAAATATCAATGGTCTGGCTACATGAATTTTTTGTCAGCATGTCTGTTGGAGTAAACAAAAAGTAAGACCTATGTTTTATACATGAAATGCACTTTAAATATAAAGACACAGAAAGGTTAAAAGTAAAGGAATGGAGAAAGATATACCATGCCGATACAATACAAGAGAAAGTGGGAGTAGCTACATTAACTTCAGATGTGCATACTTCAGAAAAGGGAAAATTATCAGCAATATAAAGGGGCACATTATATAATAATAAAAAGGTTAATTTTCCAAGAAGCCATAACAGTCCTTAATGTATATGCACCTGACAAAAGAGCATTAAAATATGTGAGGCAAAAAAATGTTAGAATTGCAAATAGAAATAGACAAAGTGCCTTACAAATAGAGTATGTGAGTAACAGTGCAAAAATTAAGTTCATTAAAGTTGCCATTTCTTGCAGGGGCAGCAAGAGCATCCTAGAAGAACTAAGAGGGTGTAACAATAGGGCAAAATGATTTCCAAGATAACAAATATTTCTAGGTTCCTGTTGGAGAAGCTGCCTGGAACTCTTATAGGATTATAGGATCTATTCTTTGACAACTGACACTCTCACCAGTATACCCTTTAATCCCCCAACTAGTGAAATACATTTAAGGAATTGGAAATCAACAAAATTCATAAAGAGCCCCACTTTCCCTTTTCTCAGCCTACCAAGTCCCCAAATCCCATTGTCATACCCTTTAGGGGATTTTTTTCTCTTCTCTAGGCCCCAATGGATTGCAGGGGTTTTCTGAGGGATACTTATATTTCCTTTTGCCAGACACATACTTTAACTTTAATATTCTCTGGCAAATCAGTATTATTAAAGAAAGAAATAGTGCTTACTCCAAAGAAATAAATTGATAGGTTCAGCAACTATCACTTGGCTTATATGAGTGAACACTTCAGAAATGTTTAAAGCCTGGGAGAATCATTTTAAATATGGAAAAAAATGTCCTGAATCCTGGCGCTTAAACATTAAAGGGCATAGTTGCTAAGTTTGAATCTTTTCAACACCTGGTAAGTGCTTTCTGATTATTCAGTCAGTCAGCCTCCATGGCCAACATGCCAGCCACTGTGCTGAGTCCTGGCGATTGAAAGCTTTTTATTATTTTGTTATCATTAATCTACAATTACATGAGGAACATTATGTTTACTAGGTCCCCCCTTCACCAAGTCTCTCCCACAACACCCATTACAGTCACTGTCTATCAGTGTAGTAAGATGCTGTAGAATCACTACTTGTCTTTGTGTTGCACCCCACCCCGTGCCTCCCCTCACATTATACATGCTAATCTTAATGCCCCCTTATCTCTCCCTTCCCACCCATCCTTCCCAGTCCGTTCCCTTTGGTAACTGTTAGTCCATTCTTGGGTTCTGTGATTCTGCTGCTGTTTTGTTCCTTCAGTTTTTTCTTTGTCAGCATGATTGTTGGAGTAAACAAAAAGTAAGACCTATGTTTTATACATGAAATGCACTTTAAATATAAAGACACAGACGGTTGATTATACTCCACATGTGAGTGAAATCATTTGATACTTGTCTTTCTCCGCCTGGCTTTTTTCACTGAGCATAACACCCTCTAGCTCCATCCATGTTGTTGAAATGGTAGGATTTGTTTTCTTCTTATGGCTGAATAATATTCCATTGTGTATATGTACCACATCTTCTTTATCCATTCATCTACTGATGGATACTTAGGTTGCTTCCATTTCTTGGCTATTGTAAATAGTGCTGCGATAAACACAGGGGTGCATCTGTCTTTTTCAAACTGGGCTGCTGCATTCTTAGGGTAAATTCCTAGAAGTGGAATTCCTGGGTCAAATGGTATTTCTATTTTGAGCTTTTTGAGGAACCTCCATACTGCTTTCCACAATGGTTGAACTAATTTACATTCCCACCAGCAGTGTAGGAAGGTTCCCCTTTCTCCACAACCT